ATGTCAGCAGTTCTTCCTAGTTCCTATGTGTGCAGGAATTTTAGCCCTAAACAAAGGCCTTACACAACTAGAGATTTAAGATTAGGCAGGTAAATACTGAAGAAATAATTGGTCATTTAAATTTGTTTTGATATGTGTTACTAGTTGCTTAATTGACACCATGATGACTAAAATATTTTGAAAGAATTTACTACAGTATAATGTCTATTAATTACAAAGGTACTGTAGCTAAAAGCATAACCTAAAAGGTTGTCAATTCAGACTCAGTTAAAAGGAACGCTACTGGAACCTCAAAGAAAAATGATATATAACTTTGTTGTGCACATACAGTACAATACAATCAAAAGGTAACTAAACTTATTGCACTATACCAAGATTTATTCATGGAGCTATGGAATACGTTGAATACAACAATTTAGTACCATTGTGATGAAAGCCAACTCCAAGCCACAGACTGTAGCCCTGATATAACTTCAGTCCCTGGAACTCCAGCACACTCAGTCAGGCACACCCCTTCAAAATCTTCACTCAAAGATACTGTCCCCTGTCTCTTCCAAGACCTACTGGCACACCATATGCCCGGCAACCAGTTTCCAACAAACCCTAATCTACTATACTATAAAAGACTATGAAGTTCCATTTAACCCAGGAATACAGAACACGCACAAATCATCCAAGATTTTCCATGGATCACCTTTAACTAAACAAAACTATAGACAACCATGTAACAATATCTTCTTTCATCACCAAATCATTAAACAGACAAAATCACTGTCCTACTAGAATGATCTGTCAATTTCTCCCATTCACATGTACTGACCTTTTTCTCTTCTGCCTTCATCCAAAACTCTTTCAACAACTTTGCGACTTAAAAGTAATATCAAAACCAGCTCCCCTCGGTGGACTAACTACACATCAGATGCCTTGATTCCCAACTCTTTCTGCAAAAAATCCAACCTTGAAATATCAGCCAAGGGTGTCAAACCATTACCATCCATAAAAAACATACAGTACATGCCGTGCTGGCCACCATGGCCATTACAAAACTACCAAAAAACAGCCCTACTGTGCACCAAAAACAAAAAACATATTCCCCTGTCCTTATCCTCTTTGAAAGACTCCGCCTTCACCCCTTGGCTTTATCCAGAAAAAAAAAACAGGCCAAAAGCCTTACCCTTGTCCCTAAAGCACTACAGTATCTACCCTCCTCCTTGAACTGCAGGAGCTTAGATGCAGCTTCACCTCAATGCTGATATACTGGCTGATGGTACTCCTAAGTAATGCCCAATTAAGCTCAGGGCAAATCAGTTGATCCCTTTCCTATCTGTGGAATTCCATTCCATGGGAGTTCAATCACTCAATGAAGGCACACTTGTCCAATTTACAGTACTGTACTTCAGTGAAGGAAGAGGCTTTGACTAAGCATCACAACCACCAAAGTACAGAATACTAACTGTGTATAGAGCTCAAGGGTGAAATCTGACTTATGTAAAATTTGTCTTATAGAAAACTTTCTGACACCAAACTCTTACTTAAATTCAGAACTCTGCAAACTAAACCCACCCAATTAGTTCCCTACACTACGACAGAGCTTCACAAATAGCTATTGAAAGACAGTGGTCCACTGAAAGAGCAGTAGTGACACAAAAACACTTTGGGAGTCGGAAATGCAGGGATCTGTGGAAATATTTCTCTGGACAGTTCTGTCACAGTTGTGAAAGCACATGGCAGAGGATGAAGTGGAACAAAGAAGGAAGAAGAAAAAAGGAAGAGATCCAGTGATCCAGTAACCCAGGAGAGAGGCAAGTCTGCTCTCTGCTCCAGAGGACTCTCAAATAACTCCAGGATTCCTTAGCTCTAGTTCTAAACCATATGGCTTTTTAAAAATTTTCTTTTGATTAATTAGCATCTTATGGCATGCAAAACGGCTTAAATTAATATGTAGATTGACCAGCAAAGGGTGCAATTCAGACTGGAGTAACCCATTCCTCTCAAGCACTGCAGTTGAGAATAATGCTGCCCTCTACTTCCATTGACATTTTATCTCCAAATACCAACCACAAATAATGTCATGGATATTTATCCCCCAATATGCAAGAATATTGTAGTTGAGTATGCCACCTAGAAATGTTAAGAGTGCTACAGCTCTTTCCCCCTGCACCTGGTTCCTTGTATCTACCAAAACCAACAGAGTCCCACAGCCCTGTAAAAGACATTAGAGCTACATAATTATGTACAATAGACTCCTTTATTTCCTCTAATATTTACAATACATATTACCATTTGAGAAATCATTACCATTTGAGAAAGAATAAAACAATAAAAAAGCATCTGCAGAGGATGTAAAGTCGAAACAAATGAGATTTACTGTATAGTTCTCCAGTAATCCAAAGGAAAGTCCTGAAAGAGAAAAGAAAGTCCAAGAGCACTACTCTTAGCTGTCTGGTATCATAGTCTGCTTTCTGCAACCAAACTAAAGAAAGTGACAGAACTATAAAGCCTTCAGTTCAGCCTGTCCCTTACAATACATAACCTTCCATTTCATTAAACAATACTGTAATATTCCACACACAAAAAATTAAAAACCCAAGCATTTTTTTGCATAAAAATCAAATATGTTTCCAGGCACGGAGATCACACCTCTGAAATCAAAGTCCTGATAATGTTATTTAGCTTTGAGAGTATCATCACAATCTCTTCTGATAGAGCAATCCTGAATTTAAAATAGTGAAAAGCACTCAAAATCAAATAATGTGATACATTTATTGGCTGGCATATTATAAGTCCATGAAAGAATATACACTCAAAAGTGCAAAAACAATAATATTGGTTAATATGTATAATATGATAGATTTTGATTTTAAAAAATCCTTAGTGTCGAATAAAAAATGTCTAAACCAGAAACACTGAGGAAAGGGATAAAACTGTGAGGCCCTGGATTCAGCTAGTCAGTCCCAAACAATATATCTCATTATGCACCCCCACACCTTGTTTTCTCTGAGTCCTCCGAGTTCAATACAGGGTAATAGGGAGAAAGATGAAGATGGAGGCTTCATCTGCTGCACTCTGTAGAGTTCCTGTCTGGTACCTGAATCCTCTCCAGTGTCCAATGGTGCAATTTGTGCCCTCCAAATTCTTCACATGAAATTCTGACTCAAGCTCATAAAGCACCGTCCCGACCAGAGCTTGGGACTCAAAATGAGGGATGAGAGTGTGCTTGTGATGTCTTGGGGCTGGGCAGAGCTAATGGCTAGGGGCTAATTAACTAACTCACTGTACGTAGATTGCTATTCCTACCCTGTTCTGGAGCCCCCTCCTTTGTCTCAGGCCTAGTTAAATTTGTCTGCCATCCCATGTCACCACTGAACTACAGTATGTGGTAACTGATGGGCACCCATGAAAACATTGAAATGTTCAGTTGTAAGAGGGAAGGAGTTATAATTGTTTAAGCAGTAGATTTTCTCTTTTTCCCCATTATGAGCAGCTCTGTGATTTGGCTGCTATAATTACTGTACATCTTGCTGTTGGTTATGTGGTAAAGGAGATTAAAAGCTAAGGCTGACGAGTAAAGAAGAGAGAGGACCTGTGTTGAGGATAGTTGAGTTGGGAAGGTGCACTAGATGGTTGTCAAGAGAAGGACAGGAAACAGTAATACTGTATTGAAGTAAATTTTCTTCCTGCTTGGTTTGAGGGAGTATTACGGCGGGTCAGTGTTGAGTAAATGCAGTAGTCTGTTACCTAGATTCTAGTACCTCCCAGCTCAGGTTCTCTAGTTGTACCGTATTCTATAATTGTGCATGGAGTTATATTGCTTTGTTTCTCTTTGGTGTCGTATTAGAGGAAGAGTGGAATTGTTTTGTGTTTCTATGTTTGCCCGTTGGCATGGTTGGGGAATTTTTGTTAATGGTAGTTTTAGTCCTTGTATATTACAACTGCTTGGAGATGATTGAAGCTCTTATTTCTGGCGTGAGTTGTACAGTATCTGGAGTGGGTAGGTGACTTCTTAGTAGGGCAAGTACAAATAGGTTGTTGCACTATTCTTTATTCATAGCGGTATCATTATCACGTGTTAGTTGTGATTATGGAAAGTCACTGTATAGTCATCCACTAAGTGCTGACTGGAACTGGTTTTAGTTGCTCTTGTTCTATGTTAATAAATGTTAATGTACAGTTAGTAATGTTGGTTTTCTTGCCCTGTGATTGAGTGAGTCGACAAAATAAAAAGAACCTGGGTATTACAGCAAATTTAGAGATTCAAACCCCTACTTAGGGTAAGGTGGATGAAATTGAGTTACTTATTTGATTATTTTATTTTTTGTTTTGAATTGATAAGTTAGAAAATTATTCTTGCAATGCGATATGCCCTGTGTAATGTGTGATACACACTACTGATAGTATAGTGTATTGTTTGTCTTTTTTTTAGACTTTTGCCTCTCCTACCAACCCCTCCCCCCCCCCCCCCCCTTCACACACACACACACACTTTACACAATTACTGTTGACTGGTACCTGCCTTACTGTCTGTGCCAGGAAAACTTGTATGATGGGAAGCTCAAGTCTCAAACGTGCTTCAAATAACAAAAAAGCCAGACACACACAGCCTGACAAAACTCGCCACTGTATCTTAAGGTCCAATCATAAAATCAGTATAGTCCCCAACACCTGAAGCCCTATATTCACTTTTGTCACTCTGTGACAACACAGCTAATTCTTTCATACCACCTCTCATCCAAACACAAAGTGCTTTGGACAAAATGGGAGAATTGTTACCTTCTCAACATTTGCGACTACTTATTTTGCTTCATGAAGAACCCCCCTTTTTGGCTGTACACTCCTTCTTGGGATTTGCTGCTGTACATCTACATATTCTTGACATACAGTAATAGACATTAATTAAGAGGGAAATTTCAAGAGACGTTGCATGTTTATTCCAAACGAGGTATACTCTACCCGCCCAGCTCAATTCTAGGAATACCTCACGTGATAACATCATGGAGATCTTTAATAGAGCGCTTCTGCACCAAATTGCAGGCTTGAAGAGACAGTGTTTCAAAGGTGAGCGGTGTCTTCCAGTTTGGACTGAAAAATATTCGTCTGCAGTTAACTATTTAGTCGTTTAGTGTGCATGTGGATGGGAAAACGTACATCGATTAATATTTTAACAGCTTTTATTATCTTTAAACAATGAATACCCATTTTGATGTTTCTGAAATCTGACTTTGAGAAACTCGTGCATCATTTTTTTTTTTTTTACAGGATAAGAACTATGACGTCCGAGATGACTACAACATCACCAGTTCTTAACACCACTTTTATCCGACCTTATGGCTTTTACGTCCGTGGTTTCTACGCCTTGGAAAACTCGAATTACTACTTTATATGCTTAGGGGTGATTTACATCGCTACAATATTAGCCAATGCACTGATTATGTCCATCATCTGGTTTGCTCAGCCGCTGCACACCCCGAAGTATTTTGGGGTCTTTAGCTTGGCCTTGGTAGATGTGAGTTACAGCACATCACTCATCCCGAAGTCTTTAGATATGTTTATTTACGGGAACAGACTCGTCGAATATAATACTTGTTTAACTCAGATGTTCTTCGTCGAATTTTTTTCTGCAATGGAATCGTACGCGCTCGTGGTTTTGGCGTACGACAGAGTAATTGCTATTTGTTTTCCTCTAAGATGCAAAACTATCAATTCAAATTCTAAAATGATCATAGTTATTCTAATTTCTTGGGCTATACCCTTTGTTATTGTTCTAACAATGGTGTGTTTCATAACACGCTTGTCTTATTGTAAATCTGTAATCGTTAACAGTTACTACTGTGACCATGGACCGGTATTTAAAATTTCCTGCAGCGACTATTCTATCAACTGGTTTATGGCTGCATTTTATATAGTCGTTTTATTGTTTTTCCCTCTCGCGTTAATACTGGTGTCTTATGTATGTATTGTAGTAGCACTGCTAAAGATAGCAGAAGCCGATGGTCGACGAAAAGCATTCAAAACATGCACTTCCCACTTAATTTTGGTGGCTATATTTTACGTTCCGCTTTTAGTCACCAACATTATAGCCTGGGTTAACGTATACATTGATACCGACACCCGAATCCTGAACACGTCTTTGTCGGGTGCTATTCCTCCTCTTCTTAATCCTATTATTTACACTTTGAAGACTGACGAAATTATGGAGCAAATTAAAAAATACATTAGAAATAGAAATAATTTGTTTTCTTTTACGCGGTAAATTAGTTTGAAAAAGTTTAATAAAAACAAAACCATGTTTAAAAATAAAAACTAAATAATATTCAGCTTTTTTTCTTGGAATAAGTTTGAAAACCACTCGCAAACCCCATTTTATCTGCTTCTCTGAGATGCAAAAAGATCCTTTGGATGTTTTCTTTCTCTTGAAATGTTTTTTTTTTATATTCACATTAATCTATCTCTGTGCAACGCCCTATCAAATGCTGTACTAAATGTGGTTTGTACAAATGTGGGTTTGTTATAGTTAGGACAGTAACTTTTAACAAAGTTAAAGTTTAAAAGTTAGTAACTGCACTTCACATTGTTTGTATACATACTTTGCATTGTTTTTGTTCCTTCAGTAATATCAATTAACAAATTATTTACCTGGATTAAATGTCAATCAGCGTGATTTTAATGTAATTTGATACAGCACTAGCAGTGATGCCCCATGTAATATTAGACTATTATTTGTTTTCTACAAATTTACTGTAAGCAAATATCTATGACATTGTTCGTGTAAGTGTTGGGTTTTGAAGTGTCATCCATTTAACTTAAAAATTAAAATAGTTTTTGTTGCAAAATCTTTAATTTCTCACCAGAGTATCTCAAATAAAGGAGATCGAGATAACACAGGAAGAATGGATTAGAAACACTAAGTGGTCAGAATTACTAGGATACAGCAAGCTTTCTATTCTATTTGACATTGATGGGGTGCCTGCTTGACAAGTCAATAATTCCCTGTCTACTTTATAACATACGATAAGATAAGATCACTTTATTGGCCATATCCAATTTCTTGTATTAGGAATTTGTCTTTTCGCATACCCCAAGTTGCTCTCCATGCGACACAAAGACAGGGAGAGAAGCTTGGCGTCAGATAGCAGGCTCAGCCATTTATACGGCGCCCCTGGCGCAGTTGGGATTAAGGGCCTTACACAGGGGCCCAGTAGAGTAGGATTCCTCTGTCGGCCACAGCATACAAACCTGCAACCTTCCAGCCACAGGTGCAGACCCTTAGCCACAGAGCCACCACACCGCCTTTACTTCATGCACTGTAGTTATAAATGAGGAGGCTCCATCTAGGTTGTTCTTTAAAATTAACACTACATTCTAGCCATCCTCACATGACAAGGAGAAATATACTGTATTATTTTAACATTTTAAAATGTCTGCATTAGGGCTGATGTTTCTATCCAGTATAGAACATGACACTTTCTGCATGAGTTTATTAGTGAAATATAAAGTTTAGGCAAAAAGAAGTTTAGTGCTTCTTTTTAATAGGACAACAATAGAAATGTGTGGCTGGTAAAAACATGCAAATTTCATACTTTGTTCTCCACTTTGGCTGCTGTCGCATCATCCAGGTGGGGGCTACACATTGGTGGTATTGGAGGGGAGTCCCCATCACCTGTAAATATTATATTACTTTTCAAAATATGCAGTGTGCAGAACCTACTGGACACAAAAAAGAACTGAGAGTACTGGCTGTAAATTCTTCAAATCTGGGCCACACTTGCTCTAACCTCGAGTTAGGACAGAAAAGTAACTCGAAGGTAAAACTGAAGAGGATTACATTTTTTGCAACAAAATAAGAACAATAAAATAGAAGTGCAGTTCACCTTGTGTAGCCCTTAGGGGTTACAAAAGGCTCTCAATTTTTTCAAGTCTACTGCATAAAACGTACCTAAAACGAAGATGTTATTAAGAATGTAGGACCAGCATACAGTGTCATCTCCTTTCAACCCTTTACAGTTCACTACCAATGCTCTAATGTCACAGGCAGCACTGTACAACTCCCTCTTAATACAGTATATAATGTACATACAAACTCTTAGTGACTCTTGAATAAACGCTTAGGGCTGTTTTCTACAAGGGGCAATCGTAAAATTATTTTGTTTCCGTCTGAATGCTAACATGGGTTCTGGGGGGGGGGGGGGGGGGGTTGTGAGGGGGGATTCCCTGCTTGCTCCAGGTCCAGGTACCTTTCAGCATTTCCTTATTTATCACAAGACATCTTGCGAGCTTGCTGAGGAAACAAATCTGCTGTTTGCACTCCCCTTGGCGAGACCTAAAAAGTTGCTTTAAACACAGGTAACACCTGATAAGATAACAGCTGCGCTGTTGAATTAATACATTATTGGATGCATGAATCAGATTTGTGGTGCAGCCTACAGTGTATAAAACTAATGATGCACCATTGTAAATTAAAGATTATTACAGGAATTAATCAAACCTCCTCCATTGCACCCATCCCTGGGGACTCCTGATGCCACTTAGCACCAGAGTGACTTTAATAAATTAAACTGCTTTTCAGGAAAGTGCAGAGTGGAGGCAGTGGGGTTTGACTGAGACAACATGAAGAGGCTGGTTCTGTTGTTTTTCATCAGTATCCTCAGGGGTGAGATACCATATGATGTTTTAAAAAAACACTGCAGTACAAAAAATACTATGCATGCTTTATTTAATGATATGCAGACTAAGAACTATGACGAAACCTGTCTTTTAAACTAACATTATTTAAACTAACATTATCTGTTTTATATCTGTGGTTTCTACTGTATGTCTTTCAAAATGCTATTTTATTATGAAGTTATTAACTGACATTCAAGAGTGATAATGACAACAAGTCAATCTCACTCTAATCATAATTTTTACTGAAATTAGTTACATACAGTATATAATCAATCACCTCTTGTCGCATCTATCTCATGTATCCCTCCTCCAACCCATCTCACCTTGCAGCTACCCCTTGATTAACTCCTCTCTCTGAATGAAGCTTGAGTCTCTTCATCCTATGGCCAGGGAGGTTAATCACTATTCAACCCTTTCACCACAAACACCACCCACAGAATGGAAATATCAAAACATAAAATACTTTAAGTAGCAGTTCTGGTAATCAGCATTTCTATTGTATACCTGTGACATGAAAATTGAAGGGCCTGCCCCTTGCAAACACAGGATATGTATTACATTTAAAAAAAATGTGTAGCCATTTTGGAACTATTTTTTATTAATTAATTTCAATTAAACAAAAGCCAACTTGCATAAATAACTGCTCTTCATTTGCTGGACCTGAGAGGCTGGTGAAAGATAATTGAACCTGAAGCTTGCAGAACTACCATGAGTTATTCAGTGTTCACTTTTCATGAAACTTTGATATGAAACAATGAAACAATTAATATTATAAGACCACAGTGTATAACATAAACACACAATGGATATTGTACAGAACATCTACTAATAAAAAAACAATGGATGCAATGTAATATTCTGAGTACTAAACCTAAACTTAAAACATAAAGCAGTATTTCACATGGCCAGCCTAGTTCTGAAGTATTGAAGGGGTCAACAGCTTTTTAATGAAAAAGTTTGTTTCAGATGCACTGTAGTGTTTAAAAGTTTAAGTTAAAAAAAACTCTAAAATATAACAAAGCAATAAATATATATATATAAAACTTGTTTCTGGGGATTTTAGGCTTGTGCAAATTTAAATTCTATCAAACTGTTTAATTGTAGCAGAATTTTAAACCCAATACTGTATATTTTCTTGTTGGTGGGATCCGATTGGGTAGACCCAAGAGCAAAATAAAGCCTCCATCTGGTACTGCATTTGGAATTTGTGATTGGCACAAGGAGTCTGAAGTTGGCTTTACATTAGATGTGTGTTACGTGGCACTTTCATCTTAACATATCTCATGTAACACGTTTTTAATATTTAAATCCATTGCCTCCATTGTTTTCACACCATGTTATAAAAAAATAAAAATAAAAATAAAGTTAAAGCAGATAAGTGGTCTCATCTAGACAATGGCCTATGTGAAAAAGTTAACACCAAAAACTGTGACTTTGGAAGTAGGGATGCTTCAGCAACAGGCATTCCTTCCAAGTCTGTCATGCTTGTGCTTTTTCATCCCTTGCCAGGTTTAACAAATAATCCTAGATCCTGTTTACAGATATAGCAAAGAGAGGAGTATTCAACCCACGGATCTTCTCAAATACTGCATTTTAAATCCTCAAACCAAATTAATGAACAGGAAGACGATTTAAACTTCTGTACCTTAAGTTCTTTCTTGGTGTATCCTGTGCGAATCTAAGTATGAAGATGCCGAGGTTTATCTACAGTAATTGCATCCCGAGAGAGGCATCGTCAAATGTAATTAACTTCTTAGAGGAACAGTTTAACGACAATTACTGTTTTCCATAACCTCTAGCGACGTGGGTTCCGTTACGTCCGCCTGATCTAGTGAAATCCATCGCATAAATTCAGTGGATTTCCCACAACCAAACTTAAATACGAATCCACCTACATCGGAAGGAGCTGGTTAAATAACTACAGATTTTGTTCAAGAGGGTATGTATTACTTACTATTGAGGACAATTTTCACTTTTTGTTGTCTTGTGCAGCATAAGTGGGATTTACAGTAGCCTATTTAACAAACAAAATAGTGAATCAGCATATTGTTTCTTTTGTATTTTATTGCCAGTACGATTTCTTCTTCTACTTTTAATAAAGATACTATGAATTCTACTGGGGTATTATCATTTTAAAATTATAAGGTTTATATATTCATAACCATTTTAAATCGCAATATCTATGCTGACTATTTCTAGGGATCACGAAATTCGAAGAATTGAAGTTCAATGGATGCCACACCAGATTTGAGTAACTTCACTCGTCCTGTTGGATTCTACATCCGAGGCTTCTATGCTTTACAAATAACTGAATATTATTTCACATTGTTAGCTGTTGTTTATGTGATTACACTGCTTGCAAACTTCTTGATAATGTTAATCATATGGTATGCAGAATCCCTCCACACTCCGAAGTACCTAGCCATTTTCAGTTTGGCAGTCGTAGACGTGAGTTACAGCACAGCTCTTATTCCCAAAGCAATACACACATTTCTTTTCAATTCGAGATTCGTGTACTTCAATGCCTGTCTAACGCAGATGTTCTTTGTTCATTACTTTTCTTCGATGGAATCGTTTGGTCTTTGTGTGCTGGCGTACGATAGGTTAATCGCTATTTGCTTCCCATTACGGAGCCATGCTCTGAATTCCAATGCTAAAATGATGTTGATCATCATAATTTCTTGGACAATACCGTTGATTGTCGTTCTAATCATGGTCGCGTTGATTCCTCCTCTGCCATACTGCAAAACAACTATTGTCAACAGTTATTTTTGTGACCACGGGCCAGTGTTTAAAATAGCTTGCGGGGATTATTCTCCCAATTGGTTTATGGCTTGCTTTTACACGGTGGCCTTATACTTCGCTCCGTTTACTTTTATTGTCGTTACATACATGTTTATTATCAATGCTCTTTTGAAAATAGCATCCACAGAAAGTAGGTGGACAGCTTTCAAGACGTGCAGCACACACTTGACTCTGGTGGCTATATTTTTTATACCTATTGTTGTCACGTACGTTGTTGCGTGGGTAAATGTGAACATCGACACGGACACAAGGATAATTAACACGTCGATGTCTGCTACTATCCCTCCGCTCCTAAATCCTATTATATATACTTTAAAAACTGAAGAAATTCTGGAACAAATTAAAATGTTTATCAGGCGCAGGAAAACTAGACCCACATTTTAACGAGCCAATAAATGTTGCATAGGGTATTGCAATTTCTGTTTGTGGGAAACTTATTTGTTGTGGAGAGGATATATTGTACTGTACATAACTAAAATCGTTCACATTTGTGTTGAGAAATCTGCTGTTTACATATCCATGTTTTCTGAAAAAAATGTAGATAAATTGTTTTATGTGCATGGAGTCAATATGACCTTGTTTTTTGTGTTGTATTCAAGAAAACGTCTACTGTACATGTACCTTTACAATTTTAAATGCGTTTTTATTTATGTAATTGTCATTGTGAATGAATTAAAATAATTTCGTATTTTTAAAGTTCTGCATAGGACGAATATCTGTCAAGTTACATTTTCCTCACACTTTTCTAGTACGTGGACAGTATGAGGTGAAATGTTTATTGAGACTTGAATACAATATGAGGTAACGGTAGTCTGCATATTCATCATTTAGCACCTGATTAAGTCAGTGAAAGAGTCACACAGTTTTGTGGTTTGATTGAATGTATGGTGTTCCCGATGTACAGACACAAACTCCAATTTTTGCAACCATTTTATACCATGACCTTTGAAGACAGGGACCTCTCCAAGGTACTGAATTCATTGTACCCCTTGCACTTAACAGGAGCATTCTTAAATACAGTACCTGCTGTGGTTTGAACTACACATGGAAAGGTAGTGAAAAATGAAAAGCAAATATTTATAACAATGTTTTTAATAATAAATAATTTATTCACCAGTTTTCCACTCTCACCATCACTGCAGTGAGTTACCTTGTTTTTTAAAATAAGGTAACTAAATGTACTAAATAAATTATATAAATCTGTTTTAACTTTTAGTTTTAGTTGTAACATTAAACTAGATCTGGTAAATTCCATATATACTGTACTGTAATACCCACGTTGCTTTATTTTGTATGAATACACTAAAATAAAAAAGGTCTTGTAGTAATTTTTGTTTTCCATGAAGGCATACATGTAGACTACCTCTGTTTTTTGCAAAATAATGTGCAACAGAACCAAAAGGGAATGTGCAATAAAATCCCTCTGTACATTTACTGTAATACTGGAAAATACAGTACTTGTCATGCTCTGATCCATAACGTAAGCTTTGTCCTTTTGCAAGCTTATCAGTATGTTCCTGTGAGATCTTGGGAGCTTTGGGAGGGATAGCTATCTTTTATGTAATTAAATGCATTATTAAGGTATATAATCAATTTTAATTTAACAACCACATTGTAATCGTCCTTGAAAAACAAAGCAAAGAAAATTTTAAAATCATGTTTATTTATGAACATCCAATTTATACAAAACCTTTTTATACCACAAAATGCTCTTTACAGGATGTAAAAGCGCATCCAGTTCTTCAGAAAAGTGCTTTTTGTTTGAAAGGCTAGTAAGCAGTGCCACATTTGTTGTACAACTGCCTCAGTGAAACATCGCTGGATCATTAGAAGTGTAGGATTTATTAAATTATTAAATAGTATAAATATTAAATTTATTAAAAAGGGTTAAAATTGTCACAAAGGGTGGGATTTATGTACTATTGTTCCATAAGCAACAAGGAACCAAGGGGTAATGTTCAGTGGCTTAGAAAGATCACATTTTAAGAAATATTTTGTACAATATACTGTATGTCCCGTTTGTTTTTATTTTCAGTTGTTAATTGACAGAAGGATCTCATCCAACAGTAACTTGAAGGAATTAATGATATTCAACAACATTATGACAGGATAGCTTGTTCCATACTCCCACAACCCTTTGTGTAAAGGGGTAGCACCTGTTCTCAGTTTTAAATACAGTTCCATGTATTTTCCATGTATCACCTTGCTTTCTCATACTGTATATATATTTAGAGGCACTACCTATCCTCAAGGTTTACAAATGAGAAGGCGATGATAGCATTTTTTTTATTAATCTTGAGGATGCCAAGGGATTATTTCACACAAAGCAGAACATCTGTTACTTTGTGTCAAAGTTTTGGTTCAGTGAAATGTAAAAGCAAATAAATCAAGGTCTCCTGCTCAGTGGAACTGCACATGAACTACAATACCATGGTATAATATATAAGTGTATAATCTAAAGACACCCTTTAATCTGTGATTAATATAATATACAGTAAATAAGCTTTAGAAGTGCAGATAACTACACAATTGAATACAAAATATTATACAAGAAATATTTGACCCATTATTATTGTACATTTTTAACTGGGCTATCTAAAGTTAACCTTCAGATTACAGTGACAACAATGATAGAGTTAATGCCCCTTATTAATCACAGGATCTACAGTATGCACTTTCTAAATAAATATTTCTAAATCCTTCCAAGCAGTTTTTTTCATGAAAATGCAGGTGCTTTTGGAACTTTTTATTCATTATCTGTAAAATTACTTAAAATTGATGATTCTTTAAATTATTATTCACTTTCTAAAGGATACTATACATTATTTGAGATTTTGAACTTCAAACTAATCATGTCCTACTGATAAAACACTTCATCAGTAAGAGCATAGATATTTTAATATTTTTCAGTTCAGTTCGAATATAAACATAAAATGTGAGAAATGCCAAAAAACAGTATATTTTTATTTGTGCAGTAGTGCTTATAATGATTAAGTTAGATAAATAAGAGGGGATCAAAATGGCAAGTGTACTGTATGGTATACATTGATAGTAGCATTCATATATTCCCATGTATCACATATTCCCATTTATACTGTATTTACACAAATGCCTCAGACTAATATACCAAGTGAATTGAAAAATGCAGACCTTTCATTATTTAGAACCAACTTTAACTATTCTGAAAAGTGCTGGTATTTTATTCATGATTTCTTTGGTTTTCAGGGTATACACTATTGGGTTCATTAAAGGTGGAATGCAAGCAGACAATGAAAGGTTGAGCATTCTTATGTCGACATCAACAGCTAAAAAAAAGAATCCCCAAATATACAGGATTAAAATCGGTAAGTAAAAAAGTGCCACTAACGTTAAATGCTCGGTACATGTCACAAGTGCTTTGTGTCTGCCAGCTAGGTTTTGCATTTTGAAAACAGCAGTTAATATGGACAAATACGAGCAAATTATAAACATCAAAGGGACAAATATTATGAGCATGCTGAGTACGACAGCAGTGACCCATTGTTGTGTATAATCGTTGCAGGCTAATCGAAACACTGGTGCGTAATCGCAGAAATAGCTGTAAATCGTGGTGGATTTACAGAAAGATAGGTTGTTCATTAAAGAAACGGAATAAGCAATGGCAACGGTACATACGATCCAAGCAGTAAATACGATGCAGGTCATTTTAGGCACTGTGTTAAAATAGTGCTGCCTCAGTGGAAAACATATTGCAATTAACCTGTCGTACGCCAGTATAGCAAGCGAGAAAGATTCTAGCGAAGCGAACGTAAAGGCAAAGAACATTTGCGTTAAGCATAAACTATACGGGACGAAGTTGTATTTGAGAAGAAAAGCCCTGATCATCTGTGGGATCAAGGTTGTGCTGTAACAAATGTCAGTGACCGCCAGGTTGACCACCGCGATGTACTTGGGAGTATGAAGGCGTTCCTCTGACCATATTACTGAGACTATCAATGTGTTAGACAGCAACGTTACAATGTACACTACGGATAGGAAAATTAAATATACATTGACTAAAGGTAATGATGAAAACCCAGCAAGATAAAATCCCTGAGGACGCACAAAGGAATCATTGATGAAAGTAGCCCTCGATGCAGAATCGGTGCTCATCTTTGATGTTTGATGTCAGAGCTGTTTCCTTTCCTCAGTAACTCGTCACCTCTGTCAGGTGTAACTGAACCTTAAACAGAAGGATAAAAAAAGAGGACGATTATATTATTATTATTCAGTATAATTCATAGCAAACATCCAATATCGAACCTCAAAACTCACTTGAATGCATGTCTCTTGTTACTGCCAGCAATAGGATGGAAATTTGAAAACGAACAAGTCAAGGTTTTAACCATTACTGTTTTTCCTGCTAAGTACTGTATGGTATTCACAATTCATGCAAACGTATTTAAAGATATTAAGGGTGTATGGCATCATAAACACAGCAACAATCTGCACAAATTGTGTCTTGGTAAAGGTGTGGCCTCAGGCTGCAGCTCATGCAAAGCTCAGGTGTTGCTGCTGTTACATTGTATTTATACCTCTGTGCTAATCAGGTTATTGCAGTTCCTCACAGGTGCACAAGAACTTATCTTGTTGGCTTTTGAGTACTCTGTGTTTATTCATTTGAAAAGGGGACATTCACCAATCCACTGCTGCAGACGTAGTAGATGGAAATGAAACACTCCATGGACAGGAAAAAATGTAAGCGCACAGCATTTGTCTCGAGCTGTTTATGTTAATGTTCCTTCTTCAGAATGCACCTGGGATTTCATTAAATGTGTAAATTGCTCTGACATAAAGTAATTACTTAGAACCCTTGGGTAACTTAACAGTTAATTGTCTTAGAAAACATGCTATTATATACCATCCAGAGTTCAGAATAAGAAATGTCAAGGCAGCATTAGCAAAGCATCATACTCAGTGGTGTACAGTACATGTTCTGAATATACATCAACATGAATATATAAAGAACAATACAACATGGGAAAAAAAATAGTCAAACCAAACTGAGGCGCTGGATCAAGCCTGTCATATATGCTTATACATCTCAAATATTAAACAGACTGGGTGTTTGATAAAGGAGCCCCCTACCCACTCTTGAAGAATTGCTTTGCCTCCAATGTATTCCTTCTTAGCACTTAACAAATTACTTGAACTAATTATTAGCCTTATAGGAGTAATTAAACAGCTTTTCCCAGCTCTTTTTTTATGGTGGGTATAGTTTACAGCACACATTTCACCACAAATATGAAATACTTTTTCTGTATCAATACCAGGTAAACTACTGTATGTTGAACTGCTTATCCAATCTGAGTTTTTCTGACTGTTCCAAACAAGAGACCAATTAACATGTTGTGTTATATTATGAACATATAGACTTGATTTACATGCTTTTAATAAGAGAAAAAGTGGATCTATTTTAATGTACCCACAAATATTAATATGAATACAATGCAAGGATTAAATGGTGACTGAATTAAAATAATTTGTTTCTTTGATTTTATTTTTTTCTTCAATGGTGTCTTGTCATTGAGTGACAGTAATATTACATTTGGTTTGCACCTGCAGGGAAAATGATCTTTCTTACATCTTTAAACACTAGAGGCTAATACTCTGTGACTGTCTGAGAAATGGCCTGTCATCACCTCTAAACCACAAGACCCCTTTGGCACCACACTCATCATTTGGATACAAATGTCTTCTAACACTAGGAGCCTGGTCATGTGCACTTAGCTGTGAGAGAATTTATCTGGCATGACTTCTCCTGCCTAACTAATAAGCAGTCTCCTTTCACCTTCTAAACAGATAATGTTACTGGTAGATTCATATCACAAATTTGAAGCAACAGAGGGTCTGTATTTAGGTAATTAAGATACAGACATAATATGTATGTCTTATTCTCGTAGTTTGATCTATGCATCCACATTGATTGCAACAAAGATGGATGTGGCCAGTATCTTTGCCATTTAAAAGGTTGAAAGTGTCACAGAGAAAATATGATGTAGAACTGGTTATCGTAAGTAAAGTTACAGTAGGTGAGTAGTTATTAATTTAAATAAAGTCCTGTACTTCAGTAGCACAAAAATACCTTGACCAGTCACACAGACGGTTAAATGTCCTCTGTGTGTGCAATCATAGTGATTCAAGTGATTTTAGAAGAAATACACCTGTCTTTGTAAGGTCCTTTGGTCCGGTAGTGAATTTCAAGAAATATTCAAAGATGAAGGCCAAGGATATTTCAAAATACCTCAAGAATAAATTAGTAGAAAGCCACAGACCGTAAATATTTCTTTGAGCATGGTGTAGTTGATTAAGAATTAGAAGGTGTTTTGTACCACCCTGACGCTGCCTACTGTACATCAGACTGCCTACCACTAAACTGAACAATGGGAAAGGTAACGGGGAAAGGTGTAAACTGATTAGGAATGCCGCCATGAGGTCAACAGCAACTTTGAAAGAGAAACAGAGTTCAATGGCAGAGATGCGAGGAACTGTCCATTTCTCAAAGTCCAATTGTCTAAGTCAATAAGTTCCAGGTATTTCACAGAAATGGGTTGTTTTGAGTAGCAAACCCATCTCAAATCCCACATGGAGTTTGCAACAAAGAATTAAGGCAATGCTGAAAACATGGCAAAAGGTTTTTGTCTTATTTGACCACAAGTAGTCTAAATGCAAAGCATCACATCTGTATCAAAAACACAGTTGATCACCAATTCAACACTATTTTTGCTGTGAAGCATGGCAATTGCAGAATCATGTTATTGGACTTATTTTCATCAATGGGGACTGCGATACTTGTCAAGACTGAGGTGCAAATGGACAAAGCAAAGTACAAACAAATATTAGAGGCAAATATACAGTATTTCAGTCCTAAAACTGAGATGAAACATTGATCGGTAGAGAATTAATCCCATTAGACATGCAGCTATAATAGTTGTCTCCCAACTTCAAATCAAAATTCCCTTTTGATTTTTTTTGCTGATATTTAACAGCTTTACGTGTTTAGCTTGAGAATTTATGATTGGAATAAAAACTTTCATTTGAACTTTTTTAGTCAACATTTGTGATTCAACAAAATTAAACCATTGAAAAAGGGTGATTATTTTAGCAAGGCAATCTATGCATTTTAGTTTAAGGATTGTCACTGCATTAGAAACTTTTGTCAAAGTGTATTAGCCCTAACATGAGTGAATGTTGGAATGTTTTGTAAGCGGCCTGTGAATTCCATTATTTAGAATGTGCCGCATACAATCAAGCCTTAGGGATTTGCTGTTCTCATATTTATCTGGGATATCTGGAACATTTCTGCTTCTATACAAATATTATTTAACATGGTAGTTTCTTTCTCTGTAATCACTTGAGTGAAATACTCATTTTGATTATTCAGAAAACTAGACCAACTCTTACATTCTTTCATGTATGTACCAAAAAACTGAGTATGTAAGAAACCATTAGCCATGTCTGCCATTTCTTTTTTAGTTGTTCATGTAGTGATGTTCCCAGTTTGTATTGAGAGGCATTCCAAACCTTAAAAAAGGCTTTATTGCAGATTTTTAAAAATATTTACAAAAAACCCTCTCAAGCAACCTCCACATAACTGCTACCAAACCCAACAAGTTCCAGAGTTACTCTTTTTACACACTAAACCACCATTAATGAACCCCATTTGAGAATGTAGACACTAACCCTTCAACAATATTTAACTAATTATCTCCCAGTGAGCCTGTTTACAATTGTTAAGAGATTTGGTGGCTTGTGGCAGCAGATCATTGCAGTCCCTTCATGTACTGGTCCGCCACATCCACCCATAGATGTTCCATGGCCCTTGATCCCTATAGGTTCAGTTCTTGTGCTCAAACAGACACGTTTCACACCCCCTACATAAGAAACCCTAATTGCATCCCTTTGTCACTTAATCGGGAGCTCCCTTTAACCTAGGGCACAGCTTATGTGAACTCCACCAAGACTCCCAAGATCCTTGATGTTTTCCTTGGTGATAACCACACATTCACACAGTAAATATCATCTGTGACTCACTTCTGCAGGTTCCTCATGTACTGTACAACATCCAGAAGATCTGCCCATACCTGACCCCCTACTCAACTCCCTCATGCTGGCATTTGTCATCTCATGCCTGGATTCCTTCTTGCAGGGCTCTCTGCATGTGTCATCAGATTAGACCAAACCCTACGGCCTACCTCATCTTTTACATCCTGAAAAACTTTTCATGTTTCCCATCTCCTTGTGTGCATTGGCATCCATTCAGATTCAATCCCTTGGTGCTGGCCTACAGGGCTTCAAAGAAACTGCACCAGGATACCTCCTGACCCCTGAGATCCAGGTTCTCAGGCTGAATGGCAACTCCATTACCGAAACTCCACAGATCCAAGGCTCGACTGTTCTCTGTGCTGCCCCCTAGTGGTGGAAGGACCTACCTGCCACTGTTAGAAGTGTGGGCTCACTTGTCATCATCAGGAAGAGGCTGAAAACTCATCTCTTCAGGATATACAAAACTTACAATGTCTGTCAAGCTGCACTAATACTCTGTAACACTGTGTGACATCCTAGCACTTAATTTACACCGTACTTACTGGTTTTATTGTTGTTTTATGCTACTGTTACATGAATACTTTTTCATGTACTGTACCTTGACTGGATGCTTGTAAGTCATGTTGGATAAAAGTGTCTGCCAGATGAATAAATGTAAATAAGGAACAATTATGTGACTATAATAAGATAAATTAATACTATTTGTTTGGAGTCAACATTTACCTCCTGTCAGGATTTATTTCCCTGCAGTAGAGATATGTTTATAAAAATATATTATTCAATGTTATTTAAAATAAATACTAGTGCCACATTTGTTGATAATGCTGTTACTTTTATTTATAGGGAAAAGGTACATTTGATTTAGTACCAAAGTACTAAAAATATGCAGTCATTTTTAACATTTGTCTCATCAGTGTTTCCAGTGATACTCTGATAAACAATGTTGAAAATGATCCTTTCGTTTCCATTAATTCTGCCCGCTAATGCCTATGTAAGGAAAAAAAGTGAGCAGTATCAGGAGAAAAGTGCTTATTTTCCATACTATGTAGTTAAAAGATGTTATGTGCATTTTTGGTTCACATGACAACTGCCATAACTAGCGGGTGTCAGTTATTGATTATGATGACATCGATTAAATTGCCACTGTAACAATGTAATTAATTAAGTTAATGGTACAATTCAATATGCACTGCTTGTCAAAATATTTAGAAAAGCACAGCTTGTGTTAACATTAATATATTGAAAACAGATTTTTTTGTTAAGAACATGTAGGCTATAGACACAGTTTGTTTTCTCCTGTTTGTGATCCTTATTGCTTATGTCCTGTTTTAGAGCTTTTTTGCATGGTCATTTTTTTTAATCACTGGAGGCATGACAGCTATTTGTCACGTGAATACAAATAATTCATAATGCTCAACAAAATCCTATGAAAGCTTAAAACATTCATTTTACATCACAATGAAGCTACAGAAATGTAAAGCCACTTGTAGAATTCCTAGATCTAAAGGGCAAATGTCAATCAATAATTGATTACTTAAATAATCCAGGTTCCAGTGAAAAAAGACCTCTTAATCCCTTTCTTAAATAATCCAAACTACAATTACAATAACAAAAACCTAACGATCCTTAAGGGATTCTCTAAAGATACACACACTAGTGACACACACTACTTAGAATGAACACCACCCAGTGGTAAAACACACTGGTGAATGACCTATTATACTGTAGGTAGTTGTGTGCAGGCTCACAAACCTGCTGGGTTCAATTCCAGCTGAGTTTAATTACCTAATTGAACCATTAACTGAACTGAAAAACTGATTAATTGGAATATTTGCAAGTTTGTTTGGTATTCAATAATTTGCAATTTTATTGTGCTTATGGAATGCAACACTTAAAAGGCAACACTTAAATGTTTTTAAGGGGCAAAAATAGTCAAGCAGGTCAAATTAATTTGATTATTAAGTAAATTTAGATTTCAAGTCTGTAGCAGAGAGTTGAGCTGGACCAAGAACCAGCAGATGTGTAGTCCTCAAGGACCAGGACTGGTAACCCCTAGTCTAAGTCTAGTCTAGTCTAAGACTGGAAAAACCAAGAAGCAATTGATACTGTAAATCGAGAAAATTATATTTCACTTGAGAGATTGGTCATCCATTAGGGTTGAAGAGACATTACATTTTAGTCCTAAATTTTAAATTAATTTAAGAATTGACCTGTTAGATTGATCACAATGTGTATTGTTCCATATCTTTAGAAATAGGCAGTTTATTGGGGATTTACACAATGTAAATGTAATTTGCCTTAAAATGTATGTTATATAATACTTTAGATACATAGTCAGGTATTCATTTATTTGAAACAAGCTGATGAAATGATCTTTTGAATGCACACACTTTACAAATTAAGCTAGAGTTAGGATTTGAATAATGTGTTAATTTAAACTTATCGATATAACTGTGCTTTAAAGTTTGAATGAGCTTTTTGTTAATAATTGATTCCTAGTGTTGACTGCATCAGCTGTTGAGAGTAATACAATGCATATACTGTACGTAGCATTTCCAAAAGCACATGATATGTTATACAACATAGCCCACAAAGATGTTTTGTGGAAAAAGCATGTGAAACATTCTACTCATTTGAGTTCAAAAAGCATTTCAATTAATCAATTAATCAAAAGATTAATCTTTAAGAACTAAGTGGCAGCTTTAAAGTAGTTCAGTGACCTATAATATCTGCTAAACAGTGGTTCTCCAGGACCAGTACTGAAGATTACTGTTTTAAAGAATCATGTGGGTAGATGAAGATAAACATTTCAAAAGCCATGTGATCCCTGCATTTGAATGTAATAATTTGCTTGATTTAATTTAGATATGCAGAAACTCTCAAGCAAACTCTCTCGGGAGCTCAGGAAGGAAGCACAGAAAGAAGTGAAAGGGGAAATAAACAAAGCAAAGGAACGATACAGGGATAAAATAGAAAAATACATGGCTATGGGAGATTCCAGGTTGGCATGGCAAGATATTAAATCCATGGCCAGTATCACCCACAAGAGTAAGGGTAGTACTGTTCCTGTGTTAAATGGCATAGATGGACAGCAGCTGGCAATGATTTATATGTGTTTTACACCTGTTTTGAAATGAAACCCATAACCACCCCAACCTGTAGTAATGATCTCCCAGTATCTGGTGGGAGTCTATTAAAATGGATTCAGTAGAGGTGCATAAGCAGTTTAGGAAAGTTAATGTGAGAAATAGCACCAATAATGTGTTAAGATAATGTGTGTGGAAGAGTTTTGCAATCTTGTGCAGATCCCCTGTGTGATGTTTTCAGTTTGCTTTTTCCAATGTTCTTAAATCTACAAATCATCCCTTCTCCGTGGAAGAAATCCATCAGCCTAATCCAAAAACTGCCAGGCCAAGTGAGCTTAGCAGCTATAGACCAGTCGCTCTTACTGTAGATCTCTCCGAATGAAAAGTCTGGAGAGATTTCTATAGCAATACATTACAAAGAACACAGGACCTCATTGACACCCTTTGGTTTGTATTCAGAGAAAGGAGGGGGGTAGATGCAATACTCACATTGTTAAATCTGGTCTATCATCATCTTGATCAAGAAAAGGTTATTTGTAAGGATATATTTGTTGACTTTTCCTCTGCTTTTAACACAATAAAACCATTGTTGCTTGCACAGAGAGGCTCAGAAAACTTGAAGCTAAACAGTAAATTGATAATAATAGTCCTAAACTGTTTAACAAATAGGACTCAACAGGTCAAATTGGGGAACTGGTTATCTAACATTGTTTTGTTCCCCTTATTGTATGTTTTTAACACTAATGATGGTAAAAGGAAACACCCATCCTAAATGATTTTACTAAATGGTGTGATGAGTTCTCTTAAAAACAAAGGAGCTCATTTTAGGAAAATTGTAGAAATTGTCAGTGACTACAGGTGCTTGGGACTGATCATAGGCAAAAACCTGAGATGGGACAAATGCTGCAACACAATTAATAAAAAAAAAAATTCAAAGGAAATTAAGCTATTTCAAGCAAGTTAGAACCATTCTAACACTTCTCTTCAAGTCTTTTATTGTACGTGTCTTAACATGCTGTCTCATTTACTGGTTTGATAATATCAGTTCCATTAAATATATTAATCTGGGGAAATTAGTCAAAATAAGTAGCAGATTAATTGGGGGCAAATCAAATCACCACACATATGCTCTACAAACAGGGTGGTACAGTAGCAAAATGTATTACAGATCGTGTCTCTCACCCCCTCCACTGCCAGTTCACACTTCTCCCATCTAGGAGATGCCTTTGAGTCCCCAGGTGTAATACTAATAGACACAGGAAATATTTCATCCCCACTGCAATACCTATTTAAAACAATGAATCTTAACCATCTTCTCCCTTACCTTTCTGTAAAACTGTTGCACTGACTTTTTGGTAGTTAACATTTTGCCTGTCAGTGTGTTGCTATGTTGGAAGTGTGCTGTAAAACGAATTTTGCCAAATGGGACAACAGAGCTAGAATTGAATTCAGATTGAGTTCTGCTCATTAGAAGTGTAACACTAAATGTTATATTTTGGAAAATATTTCCATCTAGTGGAGTGCTATTGTATTGCAGCCCTCAACCCTGTTCTGTTTTTTTCCTCCTCACCCTGACCGCAAGTCGAACATATTTTAAAGATACACATTTCCTCTTGTTGAAGTCAAGGTTTCCTGTTATGGTGCAAAGAGGTGACAGTTCTTAGGTTAATATAGGTAGAGTAGAAGACGCTTGTCCGAGAAAAGTGCAGATACGTTTGAAATCGCAAATGTTGAACGAAGATTAGTTTTACAATTACGTAAATGTGCAGAATTATCGGGTATTAAAAAAAAGCTACGGGGTAAAGTTCATTTTGGATTTTTAAGTGCAAATATTATTATAATGTAAAAGTGCTGCATGGTTTGCGTCTCAAAGGTTAATCGTAAACGTGCGTTTTTAAATGTTGTTAGGCGTTTTTATTATTACCGTAGTTTTCTTACATATATGCTTTAATGAACGATTAAAGTGATTAACCAACAAAAATAATAAACAAAAAACAATGAGGACTCGATACGGTTTATATCAGCAACCATGCAGCAGGATGCTTAATAGTGATGTTAGAATGAGTCTTTTGAAACATAAATTTTCTGCGGTATATTATTGCAGGACGTCTCTATCTCTAGAAACGTTGGTATTCTTCATCTCTTGAGGTGGGATTCGGTGATATGTGGTGTGAATAAGGGGATTTTCGTTTGTAGTCCTAGCCAGTTGATATTAACTAATGCTTATGTAATGGCATAAAAATGCACTTTTTTGGATACTTTAGGGCGAAAAACACTTTAGGCCGCTATTAAATAAGCATTAGAAACACGACAAACACTGTTAGTTCCGATACACATTCACTGCATTTATGTTTATATATATATAATTGTTGGATATATGAGTTACCCAATGATGCAGTGGTTAGCATTGCTGCCTTGCAGTGCTGGGGTTGTAAGTTCATTTAATTCCTGAACTGGGGCGCTGTCTGTGTGACGTTTGTATGTTCTCACTGTGCTGGTGTGAATTTTGTCTGGGTGCTCTGTTTTCCTCTCACAGTCCATGACAAACTGGTAGGTTAATTAGCATCTTGAAAACTGGACCTGATGTGAGTGTTTGCATGTCTGTGTGTGCCCTGCGATGGACTGGTATCCTGTCCAGGACGTACCCTGTCTTGTGCCCACTGCTTGCCAGGATAGGGTCTGGCTCTCCCATGACCCTGAATTGGAAGAACCGGTTAGAAACTGAAGGGATAGGTGTTGTACAGTATGTACACTATTCGTTTTTATTTTCTTCTTTGCTGGTTTATAGTACAATACTATGGTTTATAGACCTGGATTTTACGTGTCAGTAAAAAAATATTATTTTCAGTTTCAGCTGTGGGAGGTGCACCATGGCCTCCCCTTCGCCGCACAACCGCAGCAGGAGCGAGGATGAGGATGACCCAGTGGATCGGATGATTTCAAAGACGGGCTGCGCGGAACTGCACTATGCCGTGCAGGAGTGCATGGCAGAGCACCAGGACTGGAGGAAATGTCAGCGTCAGGTCCAGAACTTTAAGGAGTGCATGTTGGCATTCCAGAAATCCAAAAAAGAGGAAAGCTTACAGAAGGCTCCCACACCATCCAGAGTTGATGAATACAGACACCCAGGATCAGGGTGACAGACACACTGTTGCTCTTAACCAAGTGTTTTGTTTCATCAGTTACGAATTACTGTAAAAACGGTTGTACAATTGGATATATTGTGTTAAGTTGTAAAAATCAAAAATAAATTTCAGAAATAAATTTTCAACATAATTTAACAAAAATGGTTTTGTAATTATTTTATTTTTCTTCTTTTGTAGTTATATTTTCAGGTTAACACACTGACATAATACATCCCAACCCAACTGCTAAACTGTCTCTCTGAAATTATTTTTTAAATTGTATTTACTATTATTTTATTAAATAATGTTGTTTAGAAATTCTTTTATTGGGCTTCTTTTCTCTTAACCTGTGTCTTTCTGTGAATGAACAACATGCCCTTACTACTTTGATGGGAAACTGGTGTAAGTGCAAAAAACAACTAGAATATACAGGTACAGTAAAGAAACATATCGTATGAGGTAAACTGAAATATTTCTTTTGTAATACATGGTTTCAGGAAAATAAGTTATGGTGGAAAATGTTAAATTATAAGTCTCCAAAGTGACAGTTTTAAACAGAATCTAGTTTTAACTTCACCTGATAAATAGTTATTGAAAAAACATTTGGAAACCTCTACTCTTGGATTGATTGGTCATTTATTCAGACCAAAGGAGATGGAAAAATACCATCAAAATGCTGGTTTTAGTAATTAACATTTTCCCCCAAAATAATTTTAAGCTAGCGCTAAAGGGAGCTTTAGAGGTCAGGATACCAAAAATGTGTAAAATGCGTTTATCATGGTTCTTCTGGAAAAACATTGGAAATTGAAAAACAATGTAGTTACTATTAAAGGTGCTGGGCACGGATTGTGGTGGTTTTATTTAAGTAGTGCGTGTGTCAATATAGTATACTTCAGCTATTCAGATTAAAAAAAAAAAATTACTGAGAGGCATTAAAATGCAACAAATGTTATTGATTTCAGTACTCCTCTGTTCCATTTTTAATGCCAGAAACACATTGTGAATATAAAATATAAAAAAACAGTTCCCACTCTTTTTTACAGCTTGTAAAACCGATAGTACAGTATGCTGTTAATACATGGAAGTGGATGGTATTCTGTAACAGAACTGATCAGCCCTTTCTGTTGTTTGAGGAAGCAATAGCAACTCCACTGTGTTATGCTGCAATACAATACAACATAGCTGGTAGAGAATTTTATTCATAGTACGGACTTGTTTAGAGTTCTTGTTTCTTCAGTGCTCCAATGCTGTTGACCATATTATATTCAATTTTTATTACATGGCTCAATTTTGATAGTTTACTGTCATGTATGGTAAGTACATTGTAACTTGTACTTTTTGTTGTAGATTTCTCATAAATTCATGATAATCCACTACCTTGTAACATGCAAGATGTTAAATATAAAAGTGTAATTTAATATGTGAGCATGGAAGCATATTTCTTCATGTGCCTTGTCTTTCTCAAAGCAGTTGTGAACTGGAATATTTCAGAGGTTCCCTATCCCTCCTCTAGCTTTCAAAACATTTCTACATCTTAAACATTTTGGAAATTATTTGTTAGTGTGTGAAAAACTAAGAAATAATGCTGCAAATAAAATCTATCACCAAATAGGTAAATAAATGAAGGCCTACAAAAGCAGTCTGAAAGCGCTGTTTTGTGTTTCCCATCTTTTCAAGTAGCAGTAACATCTGGTAATACACCATATAAAAACCTGGCTGAAAGACATTCTGTGCATTACATCAAAATAATTTATTCTATATTCATGTCTTTCCTGTAGTGTAAAAAAGGGTGAATGTCATGTTTTATATGAAAGAAATATACAGTATTTCACAGAATTTTTTGTCCACGACTTAAAACTGTTATTCAGTCTAAATGCAATAATTTACCATAAGAAAATGAAATTTCTGCCTGATGGATGCCAAAGCCAACATCTTTGTGGACTCTGATCAGCTTGCAATCAAGAAATATTTAAATTGTGTATACAATGTGAATTGCAAAAGGCAACACAACTACTATATAAAAAAGAACAAGTAAAGGTTTCTTTCATGCTGAAAAGAGAAGAAAAGAAACACAATGTTTTTTTTTCGTCTCTTTTCAGCATGGAATAAACCTCTACTTGTTCCTTTGTAGCCTACGCATGTTGTCACAGCTACCTACTTGAACTACTACTGTATATAAAAAGATTCACAGTTGCTTCTCTTGATAGCTTCAACAGTATTTATGCGGCAATTACAAAGAAAACAAAAGTAGAAAAGGGCAGGCCATTTCCACTGTATTGTTCTAAATTGACATTAATACTAAGAGTAAAGACCAAGAGTAAAGATACACTTACTAAGGTTAGGTTATTTTAAAAAGCAAAAACATAATTAACATCATATTCCTATCAAACAATTAATGAAGTGGTTTAACCCTTTTGAATAACTTTTTAACTTGCTCCATTACCTCCTCAGTTTTTAACGTGTATATGATTGGATTTAACAGAGGAGGCAATGTAGCTGATAGAGATGTATTTAGGATTCTAGTGTCAATATCGATTGTTATGTTTACCCATGCAATCATATATGTTACTAGAACAGGAACAAAAAATATGGCAACTAAGATCAAATGCGCTGAGCATGTTTTAAATGCTTTCCATTTTCCCTCTGCAGACACAATCCTTGAAAGGGCAAAGATAATGCAGACATATGACACAATAATAAATGCAAGTGGCACAAAAATGAAAGAAACTATGTAAATTATAGCAACATTCCAGTTCTGAGTGTTGTCACTGCAGGCCATTTTAAACACTGGTCCATGGTCGCAAAAATAACTAATAATGACTGGAATTGGTTTACAGAAAGACAATCGTGTTATTAAAATCACTGAAGCTAGTAAAATAGCTAAAGCAAATACCCAGCAAAGAAGAATAATGATGATCATCCTGGAATTTGTGTTGATTGTGCTGCTTCTCAGTGGAAAACAAATAGAGACAAATCTTTCGTAAGACATAACGACAAGTGACAGAGATTCCAGGGAATAGAAGTAATGAAAAAAAAACATTTGAATTATGCACATATCATATAGCACAAACCTTGAGTTAAAAAGAAAAAAATCTATACATTTTGGAATAAGAACTGTGCTAATGCTCACATCCACTACAGATAAGCTAAAAACTGATAAGTACTTTGGTGTATGAAGACACTCTGAAAGCCATATAACAGACATTAGAAAGAAGTTAGCTGCCAGAGTTCCCAGGTACACAAAAGCCAGAAATATGAAATAATATTCACTGTGTTGCAGATTCTGAAAACCAGCGATCAGAAACCCCACAGGCTTGGGAAATGTTGTATTCTTTTCCATTAATGCCGGCTGCTGAAAGATCTTTTGGATATCTGTTGTTCTTTTCCCTCTTTTTGAAACCTACAATTAAATCAGAAAAATGCTAGTAAAAAAAGGAGATGATAATGCAGCAAAATTCTAAATGTAAAAAAAAATAACAATTATCTCAACAGGTAAACTGTTGAGTTCTCGCACAATTTATTATCAAGTAGAGAGTATTAGTCTTAGATGTAGAATTTATACCTGTCTTGAAGATGCTGCTGGAACTCTCAGCCTGTTGTCTAGTGAGCCCTTGTAAAAGCTGTCCTTTTATGTGCCAGTCTGCCTTTCAGATCACCAATCATCGAAAAGAGCAGTATTCCGGTGTGGGTGTTCATGCATGTGTGTGTTCATGACCACCAGGTGCATTTATTATAGTTTTATACTGTGATTTTAAAAAGATGAATTTCCCCATTTAACAGTACGCATACTGTATAATCCAGAATCATTACATTTTTCTCATTGTCTTTAGAAGATTTTATTTTTCAATATTCAAACACAGTTTGTTCACATTTATTATCCATTGTTTAACAAAAACAAAAGCACTCCAGAGAAACACAAACATGTAGCATGACATACTCCCCTACTACAAAAAATGTTCTTTTAATCTAGGAGTACCCAAAACTGAAGATTCATCCTGAATATTAATTTGATCAAATTGGGCTGAGATGCTTTGCTGAAATGATGGATATAAGATATGGCTGCTACATAGAACATTTTTGGCAGACAGACATTGATAGAATGTCCCTCTTGTGAGCAGCAGCGTTCCACTGTCTGCATCTCTTTGTTTACTGGGAGATCTCTCAGTATTTAATCCACTGAACAATACGCATCGCCTTAACTATTGCCAAGAAAGTTATTTTCTTGAACTGGAAAACCAGAAATGCACTTAATGCCACACAATGATTAAATCTATTTTTAGAACACACATCAATGGAAAAAAAATGACAGCATCTGTTAAAAAACAAAATTACACATTTTGCAGAAGTTTGGTCTTCATTGATTGGAAATCTAAATCTTAATGCACACTCACATATACTGTATACATATAAAGAAACAGGTACAAATATAGTACATGTACACTTACAAAGAATGCATCACATATCGCCATTATTCCCCACATTTTCACTTTTTCCTGTTTTTTTAAGGGGTCATTATCATTCCTATCATCCCATATTATTATTGTTATTGTTATTATGATTATCGCTCCTTTATACGTAATAAGTAAACTGTATGAAATGTAACCATAAAGTCTACCATTTATACTTCACATTTACATTTTGTCCTGTCTCGTCCTGTCCTGTGTGTTCAGTTTGTTTTTCTCTTGTTCTTGTCAAATTTGCATTTTCAAAATAAGTTGGTATTAGACTTCTTAACCACTTCTAGAAAATAAAAAGAGATGGTTGCTAATACAGTATGCATATTTAGCAATAACTGGAAGATGTACAGTATATACTCTAACAATTGTTACATATTGGCCATCTTAAATGGTCTAAAGGAGAAAAGTACAGTGGATAGAATGAAAACTTCATTGAGGCTTCAGCAGTTTGGCCAAACCATAAGAAGGAAATAAAGTCATAATTTGATTTAGATTTAATGCCTTAACTTGCTTAGCATAGTGAAAGACAAACTGACTCCAAGGATGATGCTGTTGGAACCCCTAGAGGAAGTTCAGTAGTTCTGCCCAACCTACTGTAATTAATATAGAACAGGGGTTTATTTAGGTTTAGGTAGGTTTATTAGCTTAACTATACTGGCTGTGGAAATTGGAACATGACTATAAGGATGAGGCTGTCTTCTGAACCTATACTATAAGTCTGCTGTCTGAACCGTTTAAGGTGAAGTCTGATTCATTGTGAGGACAGAAGAAGAATTTGCAATAAGTAATGTATGGAAGAAATGGAGGCCATTTATGAATACTTCAATGAAATTTGTATTTTTTACAGGAAATGTAAAGTCTGAAGTAAAAATTGTCAAATTTCCAAGCTAACCTGTGTGACTGTGTGTAGTGGGAGGAGCTTGCTAGATAGATAAGACTTTATTAATCCCGTAGGGAAATTGATGTGTTAATTGAGCTGCGGCGAGCACTGGAAAAAAGTCACCGCCCCAGGTGAGGGGACGGAAGCACCATCACTGAGGATAGCAGGGACCAAACATAATACAAAAAGAGTGAAAAGCAAGAGCACCACTGTGCTGCTTTACCTCCAAGCTGGGCTTTCCCTATTTAGCGGGGTCCAGTCTCATGAGCAGGGCACGTAAGGTAAAAATAAAACTAGAACGGAGTGCATAACTGAAGTGGGACATCTATACATCTTACTTATCCAACATCGCAATATCACCACTTAAGCACATTGTGAGAGGTGTTGCTGGGGTCTGTTAATTTAGCCTTCAACAAAAATTAAGCTAAGATGCCATAAAGCTGATTTGCTTTAGCAGCCCCAGTGGCTTAACGCTACATAATAAAAGACAGGAACAACACCCACAAACAGGACAAAGCAGACCAATGTCTACTGCATATCAAGGGACAGAACCTAGAGCAAGACAGAATAGGACAAGAGGTACAGTAATTACATATCAAAGAACAGGACAAGCACTCAGATTGTGAAATAAACTTTCTTCTGATTGTATAGAAGAGCTGGGAAACCCTTGCAGTTTGTCTGTTCTGTGGGGCAGACCCAGCGTGCGCTGTTGGACTTATTGAGCTCAGTAAAACTGAATCTGCACAAGACTGTGTCTTGCTCCTCTGATGAAGAATTTCCCACAACAATAACAAAAATGCGTGTGTATGCCTGCCCCAGTGAAAGTGTAGGCAAAAAAAAAATGAAAAGAAAGCCTTCCACTGTTGCAATCTCCTTCGGGACTTTTGGTGAAACTCCCCCCTTCCGGGGTGGCCCTGCTCATCCTGTCGGGGGATGTCCAGTGTACCTTTATAGGACCCTTCCAGCTGGGGCTCATCAGCTGGAAGCCAAAACAGCTGGGACTACAAAGGTGAGGCATCACCCTATGACCAGGGCTCCGCCTCCACACTGGACACGTCCCCCCGATATGCCACACCTGTATGAATGTAAAATTCAACTCATGATGACATAATGAATTGTGTTCTGAGTGAGAGTGACGAAGGGATACAGAGGATGATGCCTTCTGGACCGAAAGGAAACTGGTGCAAGGGCTGCATTGTAAGATCCAGAAGGACCCTGACTTTTGACATAAAACATGCAGTGCCCAAGATGTGTGTATTTATAAAACTAATATGCTTCAGCATTCAAGGGCTGATTAAACTTAACACTTTCATGAATGAAAGAAATTCAAGGTCAGCAAACACAAAGAAAATGCTACATACTGTAGGTAAACATATCTGTTGTGGGTGCTGTCAGGAAAAGATGTTTCTTCTTGTTTCTGTAGACCTCCAACAGATATCCTGTCAAGAGAATCTTTGTTCCCAGTTAACAGTCCTCTGGAATAGTAGACTACTTCTTCATTAGCTAGTGTGAAAGATCCTCAATTCTGTCAGCATGGCTCAGGGTAATTTGTCAGATCAAACAAGTCCTGGATTTACAGCTGTCTTTAGTTTATTTTTATGTTAAAAAGCTTTAACACAAAATAAGAGACTTACAAAACTAACAAAAACACTTCTACAAACTAATAGACTTCTTAATAAAGTCACAAACAGCAACAGCACATTAGCTCCCGCTTTTATTAATCACTTCCCACCAACTACTCACTTCCCTAAACCTACCACGAGACACCCTTTTATACAAAATGAATAATTAACTAATGTGAAACCGCACCTTCTAAATCATTATATAATTACATAATTAGAGACTGATACACACCAGGTGAAACTTGCAGACAAATGTCTTTGTAGAAACATATACAAGTGTATATTTGGCTCCCTCTCGTGGCAGCCAGTGGGTATCACAGTCTTTCAATGGCATTAACTGCCATACAGGTACCACACACTTGAAAATGGCTCCAGAGACGAAACGTTTTGCCTTTTTTTTCAGCATGGAATAAAACTTGACCTGTTCCTTTTCAGACTATGCATGCTGAGACAGCAACCTGTTGTAACTTAAAACAGCTACATGTTCTAACTCAAAAGTCTTGCAACTCAGACAACTTAGAGTTATATTCAAAGATAATGTTTCAGATGTTCGTTTATAGTCAAGTTTTATTTTATTTTCTGTAAGATTTTTGAAAGTTTACAGTTGGGAATTTATCATGGCATTTGTGCATTTAATATTAATATTGTGTAAATAACACTACTGAACTGTGTGTCTAAAAGCAGGATAAAGAAAAAAAAAGCCCAAGGAAGTACTCATTAATCAACTGCTTAATTCCTGCTTCCGCGCACTAATTTGGTATATTTCTTTATTGTTCCTTGAACAGCTTAAGATCATAATTACATTGTTGTTATGGCCAGCATTCTTTTAACGGAATAGAGTTTGGGAAGCATTCTATCAACATTGTGCTGACTAAAGCTCTAGGGACATCTGGTATCCAGGATCAGAACTACTTTTAAAGATGTTACTTAACCTTTTGAACAAACTCTAGTGGCAACGGTAACATGAACAACTTACAGTAAGCAACGCTCTAAAATTATACTTCTATATTCAGTTACAATTTGGCATATATAAAGAAAATGAAGTATTGTATTTACCTGAATGTTGATGTGTAGCAAAAATGCAATGATTTAATAATGCAAGAATTAATACAGCTTCTTCTAATACACATTCTTAAGGCTTATGTCTCTTAAAATAATTTGGTGCTGCATGGAAATGCTAGGGTTCTTGTAAAATGGTACTTAGAGCTTATAATGTTTATTCTAAACAGAAACATTGTAAGATATTCAAAATGTGCAAAAACTTAAATCTTAAAAGTACATTTTAATAATTTAACTCAGTTTCAGACGTCACATGATCTACTAACAATAATAAAAATAATAATAATAATTCTAATGATTTAATGGAGCATCTTTCTGCTTTCTGATAATCTTCTTAATTTGCTCCTTAATCTCCTCAGTTTTTAAGGTGTATATGATGGGATTCAGCAGAGGAGGCAGGGTTGCTGCCAAAGATGTGTTGAGAATTCTGGTGTCAGTGTCCACCAGCACATTGATCCATCCAATCATATACATTATTAAAAGAGGTATAAAAAATATGGCCACTAAGGTTAAGTGGGCCGTGCATGTTTTAAATGCTTTCCACCTCCCCTGCACAGATGAAATCCTTGAAAGAGCAGCTATAATGCACACATATGACA